AGAGTGATACATACAAGCAGAGCGTATCATAATGCACTTTGCAAAGCCGAACCGTCCACAAACAAAACATCACAAAAATACCAGATCAGAACATGGCAAAACAGAAGACGACATAACACTGTAAGAAAACATAACCGAGCCTAACATAACACACTTTGACATAGCATATCATATCATGACACTGAATCACAGAACATCTCATAAGACGACGGCGGAGCATAGCGATGACGAACACGACAGAGCACAACATGTCACAACATACCATAACACAAACATGACAGAACATGCCAGAACATACTATAGCAATGCCATGACAAACTAGAGCATAACACAACATCACACAACATACCGGCGTAGAACATGACATGACAGAAGACGACTTAACACAACAACATATGACACAACTGAACATCACACAGCACACCTGGACAAAACATATCATACCACGACACAGCATCACATAACTTATCATAACACGACAGCAGAGCACAGCGACACATACTAGCAGAGCAGATCATAATTCAGTAAACAAAGCCGAGCCGTCAACAAACATACCATCACATAACATACCAGCGCAGAACATGACATACGATAAGACGATATAGCAAAACATGGCAGTAGAGAGCCGAGCATAACATACCACACTTTGATAATTCTAGTAAGCCGAGCCGTCAACAGCATCACGGAACATGACATATTGTACCGAGCCGAGTTGTCGACAGCATCATGGAACATATCATATTATAACATAGTTTGACATATCAAATCATGCCATAACATATTGCCACAGAGCAGACCATGCCATACCATGTCAAAGCATATGATGACAGAGATGAGCATAACAAAACATACGCAATCAGAAGAGAAACATATAAGTGAAGAGGAACATCACAACAGACGACGGACCTAACGTCACAGGCGTCGCGACGTGACGCTGTCCCTTCGAAAACACAACAGGACGTACTAAAGCACAACATGAAAGAACGTGACTACTCGGTTGAACCGTTTTTGAATCCAGGAACGGCAGTTGTGCAGTTGTGGAGAGGAGTACCGCGACAGGACAGGACAGCAAAACATACTAACAGAGCAGATCATACTATACTACACTGAGCTGAGCCGTCAACAGCATCTCGGAACAGCGCATATTATAGCATAACCTGGCATATTATATCATGTCCTGACATGTGCCGCAGAGCAGAGCATAACATCACATACCAACGTATATTGTGGCAGAAACGAGCATGACAGAGCATACTTTAACGGAAGAGATAACGGAAGGGCAGAGTGATATCATAACATCGCGTACCGAACTTACATGTTGGTTAATTTGGCCACAGGAACCAACAGTCACAGCAATTAACGATTCGACGATATATCTAACGTGACAAGCGTCACGACGTCACACCGGCCCGTCGATATCAGGACATCAAAGAACACAGTGCCACATATTACATTGGGGCAGAATCCTACCACACACACTCTCACACTGAATCACAACATCACGTATTCAGTAGCCATTCTTTTACGGCGTCGCCCAGGCGTCACGACGTCACGCCGGCCCGTCGAGAACATAACATGACATAATCGAGCATCACATTGTTGAACGTTACTACATGGAACATTGTGGAAGTGACAGGCGTCGCAACGTCACACTGGCCCGTCGAGATCACCACATCACAGAACGCAGTATCACATGCTACATCGGGGCAGGACCCAACCAAACACACTATAGCACAACAATGCCTGTACAGTCGCCATCCCTCCACGGCGTCGCCCAAGCGTCACGACGTCACGCTGGCCCGTCGAGGACATAACTGGACGCAACAGAACATAGCATGATAGACCGTTACCACATGGAACATTGTCAAACTCTTTTGAATACAGCAGCGGCAGCATTGGAGAGGCGTTTCACGCCATCACAGGACATGGCAAAACACACTAAAAGAGCATTGAAGTTACCATATACTGTGCTAGACAGCTTCACGGAACAGAGCATACTATAACATAGTTTGACAGAGCCTATCATGTCTTTGCATGGTGCCGCAGAGCAGAGCGGTTCGACGACGTATCTAACGTGACAGGCGTCGCGACGTCACGCCGGCCTGTCGACATCGGGACATCACAGAACACAGCATCGCATATTGCATTGCGACACATTCCAACCAAACACGCCATAGCACGACATCACTCATACAGTAGCCACCACTCCGCGGCCTCGCCAAGGCGTCACGACGTGGCGCCGGCCCGCGGAGGTCAGAACATAACAGAGCACAGTGTCACGTAGGGGCAGAATCCAATGAAACATACACTACTACCACAACGTCACGAAAACAGTAGCTACCGCTGCACGGCGCCGCCCCGTCGTCAGGCCCACCACAGGGACAAACAGGCGCAGGAATGACCGATTCGATGGCGCGTCAAACGCGACATGCGTCCCGAAGTCACGCCGTCTCCGCTCTCCGCCCCGCCTCCTCATCCTTGTCCTTGCCTCCTTTTTCCAATCTTTTTTCCCAACCCGACAGGATGGGCTTGTTGGATTTCAAGAACAGCCCCCCTGGCCAACCCCACCCTGCATACAGCGGCCGCCAGACCCCAAGTTGTCCCGATGGTCCCGGGTATCCCGCTTCGCGCTGGCCAACCCCACCCTTTATACCGCGGCCGCCAGACTCCAAGTTATCCCGATGATCCCCGAGAGTCCCAGGTGTCCCGCCTCGCGCCCGGCCAACCCCACCTTGCGTACCGACCGCGGCCGCCAGACCCCAAGTTATCCCGATGTTCCCCGAGAGTCCCGGGTGTCCCGCCTCGCGCCCGGCCAATCCCACCCTGCATACGGCGGCCGCCAGACCCAAAGTTGTCCCGATGATATCCGAGAGTCCTGGGTGTCCCGCCTCGCGCCCTCGACGAACACGACAGAACACAACATTACAGAACGTAACATGACAGAAAAGAACAGAGCATGCCTGATTATAACATAACATGACAGAAGAGAGCATAACAATATCATGACTACGTAGAGCATGACATAACATCACATAATATACCAGAGCAGAACATGATGAAACATACTATGACATAACACAACAATACATAATCTAGCCGAGCATGACATCGCACATCTGGACAAAACATACCAGACCATGATACAGCATCGCATACAATATCGTACCACGGCAGCAGAGAATAGCGACGACGAGGACGACAGAGCACAACATGACACAACATAACATGACATAACCTAACATGAGCATGACATACCACGGCAGAAACTACCATAGCAATGCCATGACACAATGGAGCATAACATCACATAACAAACCAGAGCAGGACAGGACATAGCATTATTCGACGGAACGCAATACAACATGACATAACCGAGCCTGACATAACACACCTTGACCAAACATGCCATATCATGGCACAGCATCGCAGACCATATCATAATACGATAGCAGAGCATAGTGACGTCGAACACGACATAACACAACATGACAAAGCAGAACATGACAGAACATGACACGAGCATGACAGAACATGACAGAACATAACATAGCAATGGCATGACAAACCACGGCATAACACAACATCACATACCATACCAGAGCAGAACATGACATCACATAGTACGACACAGCACAACATGACATACCACAACCGAACATAACATAACACACCTTGACATATCATATCATACCATGGCACATCATCAGTGAACATATCCTAACACGACAGCAGAGCAAAGTCACACATTTGAGCAGAGCGTATCATCGTATAGTTTGCAGAGCCGTGCCGCCAACAAAACATAACATAACATACCATACCAGAGTATACTATTACACAGCAGACGCCGACATGGCACAACAGACCACACTCTAGCATATCCTAACATAGCACACCTTGACAGATCATGGCATATCATGGCGCAGCATTGCAGACCATATCATAATGCGATATCAGAGCATAGCGACGTCGAACACGACATAATACAACATGACAAAACATAACATGACAGAACATAACACGAGCATACCAGGACATGACAGAGCATAACATGGCAATGCCATGGCAACATGCGGCATAATACAGCATCACTGAACATACCAGAGCAGAACATGACAGAACAGAAAACGGTATACCATAACATAACATAACACAACCGAGTATCAAATAACGCACCTTGACAGAACGTATCATATCATGGCACGTCAGCAGCGAACATATCACAACACGACAGAAGAGCATAGCGACACATACCAGCATAACGTATCATAACATAACATATCACACCTTGAAATCACATATCTTATCATGGCACAGCATCACATGCCATACCGCAACACGACAACTGAGCATAGCGACGCCGAAAACGACAGAACTCAACATGACACACTTGACCATGCCATAACATAACACGAGCATGACAGAACATTCCATGCCATAACATAGCAATATCTTGATACAGGGCATAGCCGAACATCGCATAACATACCAGAGCAGAACAACAGAAGACGACATAACACAACATAACATAACCGATCATATCATACCGCACCTTGACATAACCTATCATATCTTGACACAGCATCGCATTAGATCATGACACGACCGCGGAGCATAGCGACACATGCCAGCAGAGCATGTCATACTATAGGGGGTTAGCGGGGGAAACACAATATTGCAAAGAAATGCAATATGTGGCGATTTGGCAAGCATTGGATACATTGGATACGTTGCGTTATCGCCTCCGCACCAAATGAGACCATGACATAACGTAATAATACATACTACGACATAACATTACACAGCCAAACTTAACATAACACACCATGACATGTCATACCAGATCACAGCATGTCAGCATCACATATCTTACCATACCACGACATCGGAGCACAGCGATACGTACTATCAGATCGTATCATACTATACTGTCTTGAGCCGAGCTGGCAGCAGCATCACTGAACATATCCTACTATACCATGACTGGGTGACAGAGGTGCCGTAGCCATTTTGGGCTCCAGCGACCTCAGCTCGGGCGGATTCGACAGGGCGTCGCTCGAGGGGGGGCCCGACCGGCCCCTGCGGTGCTGCGGGGTCATGGCCCGCGCCCTCTCCGCTGCCCTGCTCGCCGCGGCGGCGTGCCTCGGCGCCCAGCTGCGGACTCCAACAGCGGCTGCCGAGGCGTGGGCATTCGCTGCGGCGCGCCTCGGGGCAGGGCCCGCGGGGCCACCGCTGCCCGCGGCACCGGCCCTCGGCCGCGCGGAGGGCTCGTCCGTGGCCATGCGCGGCTTGCTGGGGCTCTTCGGCAGGGCCCCCGCGCCACAGCCGTGGTACTCGCAGCTGTGGGGCAGCAGCAGCGCGCCCGTGCTGTCTCTGGCGCTCGGGGTGCTGCTCGGCGCGATGGCAGCAGCGAGGGGGCGGGGTGGCGCGTCCGCGCCGACGTACATCTTCAACAGCAGCATCGCCAAGGAGCAGGTGCTCGAAGCTCAGAAGGCCTGGGGCGACGGAATTGTGAAAATCAGCGCGGCGCACGCCAACGGGGAGGACTTCACGTTTCTCGCGAAGGAGCACATCAGGAACCTGTATGGCTACGGCGTTACGGATGTCCTTTTCAAGCCGACTTTGGCTTCAGAGATTCAGTTCCGGTCCACCTTCGACGAGGCCTTGTCTTATTTCGTTGCGACAAACGGGGTTTGCTCTGAGGACAGTGGCTTTGCCATCAAGGGCTGGAAGGCCGTCCGGTGGGAGAACGTGGATATCACCACCTCCGGCAACACCGCAATGGCCATGGGCAATTATTTCTTCACCACCCCGGAGGGCGGCGAGGTCAAGGTGGAGTACACGTTCGGTTACTTCCTCGACGGTGAGGGGAAAGTGCGGATCAACTTGCACCACTCTTCGGTGCCGTATGACTCTGGCGTCACCAAGGAGGAAGTCATCGCTGTGCAAAATGCGTGGGCTGGCGCCATCAAGAACATCTCGAAGGTTCACAAGGACAAAGGCGATTTTGTCCAGGCGGCGGCTGATGCAGCCGGGGAGCTCTACGCGTACGGTAAAGGCAACGTGCTCTTCAAGCCGACTAAGGCCCGCGAGTATACGTTCCGTCCCACAGCCGAGGAGGCGATGTCCTATTTTGTTGGTGAAGGCGCGGTCGAGAACGGCTACAAGGAGGATGGCGGCTTCGCGATCAACGGTGGCAAGGGTTGGGCGGATTGCGTGTACAGCAACCACATGATCGAACCTATCGGGGGTGTTGCCATTGCCATGGGTACCTACGACTTCACCTGTGCCACCACTGGGGACGTGTCGACTGTCGAGTACACCTTTGGTTATAAGCGCTGCGACGATGGGAAGGTACGCATTTTTCTGCACCACTCGTCGGTGCCGTTCAGCGCTGTTCCGGCACCAGTCACCGAGGAGGAAGTCATCGCTGTGCAAACAGCGTGGGCTGGCGCCATAAAACATATCTCGAAGGTTTACAAAGACAAAGGCGACTATGTTCAGGCAGCTGCCGAGGCAGCCGGGGAGCTCTACGCGTACGGTAAAGGTAACGTACTCTTCAAGCCGACGAAAGCTCGCGAGTACCCGTTCAGGCCCACGGCCGAGGAGGCAATGTCCTACTTTGTCGGCAACGACGCGGTCGAGAACGGTTATAAGGAGGACGGTGGTTTTGCGATCAACGGTGGCAAGGGTTTCTCAGATTGCTTGTACAAGAATCACCAGATCGAACTCAAGGGGGGCATTGGCATTGCCATGGGTACCTACGACTTCACCTGTGCCACCACTGGGGACGTGTCGACTGTCGAGTACACCTTCGGTTACAAGCGCTGCGACGATGGGAAGGTGCGCATTTTTCTGCATCACTCGTCCGTGCCTTACTCGGCTTGAAGCTCGGAAGCGGCGGGCAGTCCAAGGGCTAGAAGACCGTAAACCGCTGGGTGCGAAAACGGCTCCTTTTTGGCGCCATGAGCAACTTGTTGTTCACCATCCTGGGCGGCGCCTTATTCGAAACATTGTGTGAGCATCAGATGCATCTGTGTGAGCATCACCAACGAGCAGCTTGTGTCGATCTGTGTGAGCAATCGTATGGGGTATTTGTTCACACGCTTGCATCGCAACTGTCGTTTATTGCTGACATGGCATCCCTTCATTATGGCACGTTCTTCTCATATCGTGCAGACCCCACTTCCTCTTATCCTCTCTTCTCCTGCCCTCCCCCTCTCTTTCTCTCCGTCTCCATGGCCATTACCAGCGTGCACGTGCCAGCTTGTACATTTGATTTTGCTGAACGGGGCGTGCCAATGGGCACGCCTCGTTCAGCCTATGCTTCCTCTCGTGTGCACGGCTTTTCGACAACTGGCAATGAGACCTTTGGTGTCGAGAGCTCCGTCTCCCAACCACCTACTCCTGACCAAAATGATTGGGCAGCAGAGATGAGCACAACATAACCTACTCAATCAGAAGAGAAACATAAGCGAAGAGGAACATCACAACAGGCGACGCATTTAACGTCACATGCTTCACCACGTCACGCAGGCCCGTCGAGAAGAGGACAGGACATAATAGAGCACAACATTAAAAAAACGCTTCCAACTGTGGAACACGGTTGAACCGTTGTTTGAATCCAGAAGAGAAAGTTGTCGACCAATTAGGCGAGCGCCATCGGGAACAAACGCTCAAGGTTTCGGGGGGGATCGCTCGAATCAAAATAATGTTTGACCCCACGGGGGGCATTTGAGGATTGGCCGATTCTCAGAAGCCATCAGACCTGGAATGGTCAGCGTACTTCCGCGCGGCGTGGGCATCCGCAAGTCCCGTTTTTTGTCGCCGCGGAGGAGGAGGCGCAGGAGGAGGAGGATGAAGATGAAGGTGAAGATGATGATGACGATGATTCTGATGATGCTGCTGCTGCTGATGAGGAGGAGGAGGAGGTTAAGGAGGAGGAGGATGAGGAGGGCAGGGGCAGCCTGGCCCCTAGCAGGGGCAACGGAGTGGTGGCGGTCTTAGCGTTTCGCCTCTCTCTCTGTCTCTCTGGTATACATATGTATATTTGTATATATGTACATATATATATATATATGTATGTGTGCTGGATCGCCAAACGGTGTCGCACGTGAGGGTCGGCGTGCCTCATGTTGCACCCGACCTGCTCCACGCCTGCTATACCCGTCTCCTGCCTCGCTTGCGAAACACTGGGGTTCTCATGAGTGTACAAGTAGGGCCGCATAACAGTCCCGAAGGGGGTCTGGGGAAAGGGGGGACGGTGGTGCTGGACGCACTACTGGAATCGGCGTTGCGTTTGAGACTCCATCGCAATTTCTTCGCGAATCGCGTTTTCGCGTCAGTGGCACGCATTCGTGGTCACAGCGGCGGCGACCCTCTGTAACATATTTTCTCCATATTGTTACCGTCACAGGTCACGAACGTGTTGTAGAAACATAAGACTTCCACCTTTCTAGTTCTGACGGGTCACGGACTCGTGTTTGTAGGAACGCCAATTCACGAAATCGCAGTGCCATCGGATTCTGGGCACTTGAGTCCTTCCCACTCACGGCCGTGTGACAGCCACACGATTGTCACCATGTGAGGCCTCCCAGGACACGAACCAGGTCACAAACGCGCGGCAAGCCCGTTGAGTTCTCACTGCGCGAGCCCTCCCGGGGCACCAGCGCGTGGCAGGCCGATCGGATTTCCACCAGCTGGGCCCTCCCAGGACACGCGACCAGAATCACGAACGATCCGCAAACAGCGACAGACCCAGCACGTTTTCGTCGCCGTTCACGTCTTGGGGGTCCAGTGCTTGTTGCTTCCTCGCCCCCTCCTTTCCTCCCAAACCACCACCCATCATGACCTCCGGGGAGCTACAGAGATCAGCAGTTGCTCATGTTGGTCTTCATGGAAGCCTTATCTTCCATCAACGGCTTTCTCTCTTGGCGTTCAGCGCCCATGAAAGCCGAGCGGGGTGGATGATTCGTGAGCGGTTGGCGCAAGGTGTGCCATTCTCCGCTCATCGGTTGCCCGCCTGTCGCTATTTGCTGCTGTTTGCTGCCAGGCCGCCAATCGCTTTTCTGTAAGATTGACTTCCAGAGAAATGAGCTTGACACTTGAGCGACGCAAAAAACGGGGTCGTCTGCGCCGACATTGGCCCGTAAGCTGCCCGCGTAATGTCGTGCGTAAGCGCCCTCGCTTCAAGTGTGGCGTGCCGCGCGGGCGGCCCGCGCAAGCCGCGACGTGAGGTCGTGACGTCACCTCGCGTGAGACCCGCTTTGACTGTCGCTCACTTGCTTTCGGACGCTTGCTGCAGGTGGTCGGTGGAGAGCATCCTCGAAGGCCTAGAGGTTGACACCAACACCAATATTGGCGATGTGCCTCCACCGAGGGAAGAGGATCCCGATCTCGGTGATGGTGATAAGATTCGGGCTTCCGAGGTGGCCGAACTATTACCACCACCAACAACATTTACAACCTCGTTAAAGTTAACCTCAATAATGGCGACTACGCCCCTGCGATGTCGGCGCGGCCTTCAATGTCGATAGGCGCCCGTCCAATGTCGGGGCCAGGGCAAAAGTGGTCTGACCGGGAACGACTCGGAAGCTCGATGATGAGCGACATCGGAGGGGCGGCGCATACAAGTACCTCGCAGTCACCGCTACTGTGTCCAGCACCTCCCCACGGACAGTTCAGCCACGTCAGACATTTTTGAGGTCAATTTTGACGAGGGGATCACCCTCCCCTGGTTGAGGCAACCCTCGGTGCTGGTGCTGGTGCCCCTTTCTAAGCCTCCAAGCAGCCGCAGCCGCACGTACGCTGGGCGCCCCCAGGGCCAGGGTGCGGCAGCCCCCAGGCCCGCGCGCAGCAGCATACGGAGCGCTGAGCACGTGTTTGAGCACGTGTTTAGCGTGGCCCACGTCAGGAGGAGGAGGAGGAGGAGGAGGAGGAGGAGGAGGAGGAGGAGGAGGAGGAGGAGGAGGAGAAGAGGAGGAGGAGGAAGGAGGAGGAGGAGGAGGAGAGGAGGAGGAGGGAGAGTGGGGAGGAGGGGGAGGAGGAGGAGGAGGAGGAGGAGGAGGGAGGAGGAGGAGTGGAGGAGGAGGAGTAGGAGGAGGAGGAGGAGGAGGAGGATTGACACGGACGTTTTAAGCACGGTACATGTTGCGTTTCCCCCGCGCCCGCGGCAGGACCCGGGCGCGGCGCGGGAGGTGCTGTCCAAGAAGGCGCGGGGCTCGGCATCAGCGAAATGTCGGCGACACCCCAAGATTTCTGATGTTCCAACCTGCTTTAGCCTTGATTGCCAGCACAAATTTCGAGCACCATAAACAAGTACCGACACTAGAGGATTTTTCACGTGTCGGGCCCTTGGAGGCACTGTTTCGACACTGTTTCGACACTCTTTCGATACTTGTCCGGGTGCTCGGAATTATTTCTGGGATGTGGTCTTTAAGTACGATGGGCGCACCATAACCCAACGTATTGATGCTGTGTGTGCGTCGCTCCCCAGAGGCGACGCGCGCACCGAGAGGTCTTGTGGTGTGTGCGTCGTGGCGGGCGCTTTCTGGCCACACCGCTCGGGAAACGATGCACTACAATATGGATACACTATATCTTCGGGTCGGACGCGCGCTTCCGAGGAGGACATCTAGTACTAGTATGTCCTTGCGCGTCCCATGGAGGGCAAGGTACCGATACTGCTACCTCTCCTTCGTTTTCGCCTGTTTTGGACCTCCTCGGAGGCCCTCGTCGCCACTGCTGGATTCGCCTCGAAGTCTTGGTCAGAACGCACCCCGGGAGAGGCCCAGGGAGTAGCAGTATCTGTACCTTTTGGTTTCTCCAAAATGGGTTTTGGAAGAGTGGGTCTGAGGTGGCCCTGCACTGGTTCTGGCCAGCAGGGGGGGAGCAGGCTTGAGGTTCTGGGTTCGAGACAGGCTTTTGGCCTTTCTCCGGCCCCTGGGCGCTATTTTTGGGCTCCGAGACCGTGACAACGATCCTGGGGTGGAAACTACACCAGATGGACCTGGGAGGGGTCCCCGGGGACCGATCTTGAGTGGAGTTAGCTTGATCCCCCCTCGTGACCGACTTTCCGGGGCCCCAAACGGTTCAGACCCCCTGACCGCCTCCCACGCGGGGCGCCGGGGCTCGGCGGTGCTCCGCCTTCCGCATGTCAGCCATGTCGGCCACATCCCTCAGGCTGCTCCTGGCCCCCCATAGGAAGCTCCAATGAAGGCCCCGCCACCCATTTCGCCACACCCCTCACTCTTCTCGTGGCTCCATGGGGGGCTCCACCCAAAGCCCGCAGTGGTGCCGTTCGCACGCGTCCCCGTCGCCCACTTCGGCACACCCCTGCACGCTTTTTCGTGGCCCCATAATTAGGGAGCTCCAATGAAGGCCCCAGTAGTGCCGTTCGCATGCGCCCCCGCCACCCATTTCGGCACGTTCCTCACTTGTTTCGTGGCCCCATCAGAGGCTCCACCCAAATCCCCCTGTGGTGCCGTTCGCACGCGTCCCCCGCCACCTATTTCGACACACACTTCACACGTTTCGTTGTCCCATAGGAAAGTCTACCCAGAATTCAGGGGCCTCCACCCAAGGCACTCAGTGGTGCCGTTCGCGCGCGCCCCCCGCCACCCGTTTCGGCCCTCACACGCTTCGTTGCCCCATAGGAAATTCTAGTTGAGGCTCCAGTGGTGCCATTCGCATGCGTCCCCCGCCAACTATTTCGGCACACTCCTCATTTGTTTCGTGGCTCCACAGGGTGCTCCACCCAAGGCCCCAGTGATGCCGTTCGCACGCGCGCCCCGCCACCCATGTCGGCACACCCGTCACACGCTTCGTTGCCCCATAGGAAACTCTACTGAAGGCTCCAGTGGTGCCGTTCGCATGCGTCCCGGCCATTCATGTTGGCACACCCTTCGCGCATTTCGTGGCCCCATAAGGGGCCTCCACCGAAGGCCTCAGTGGTGCCGTTCGCACGCGTCCCCCAGCATATGTTTTGGCATACCCTTCATGTGTTCTGTGGTCCCACAGGGAGCTTCACCTAAGGCCCCAGTGGTTTTCGATTGCGTTCCCCGCCACCAATTGCGGCACACCTCTCACACATTTCGTGGCTTCCTCATCGGGAGCTCCACCCAATGCCCCAAAGGTGCCGTTCGCGCGCGCCCGCCGCCGCCCATCGCGGCACACCCTTTAGACGTTTCGTGGCCCCATGGGGAGCTCCAGTTCAGGCTCCAGTGGTGCCGTTCGCATGCGTCCCCGCCGCCCACTTCGGCACACCCCTGCACGCGTTTCGTGGCCCCATAGGTGGGCTCCACCTAAGGCCCCAGAGGTGCCGTTCGCATGCGTCTCCGCCGTTCTTGTAGGCACACCACTCACGCGTTTCGTTGCCCAAGAGGGAGTTCTACCCAAGGCCCCAGTGGTGCCGTTCGCACGCGTCCCCGCTATTGCTTTCG